AAAAAAAAAAAAAAATATATATATATATATATATAAAGTTGACCAGGCGTAGTGGTGTGTGCCTGTAATCCCAGCTACTCTGGAGGCTGAGGCAGGAGAATCACTTGAACCCAAGAGGCGGAGGTTGTGGTGAGGACAGATCATGCCATTACACTCCAGCCTGGGCAACAGAGCCAGACTCCATCTCAAAGCACGACAAAATTTTAAAATTAATTAAATAAATAAATGTAACACCCCCATTTTTGAGTAATTCAAAGACCTTCACAATCCTTGGTTTATTATAAAAAACTTTTGGGGGGGAATTTTCAATCAAACTGATTTATAAGGTAGTCAAATCTATGGTAATATGAATAATGCTATATGCAAATCTGATAGTTACATTATTTGTTTCTAAACATGTGAAATTATAAAAATCATACTGCTTTAACCACAGTTTCCTTTACTTAGAAATGAATGAGATTGGCTAACACTGTATGCTTACCATGTGCCAGATGCTATTCAAAATACTTCATATTAATTATTTCACGGTAAGCAATAGTTAGATATAATTAATATCCCATTTTACAGATAAGAGTATCGAGGCAGAGAGAGGTCATGTAGTGAGCAAATAAATAGAACAGGCAAGTTCCAATTCTGTCATTGCATCTCCAAAGCCCAAGCTCAACCCCTGTGCTCCAGTGAGACTCGGGAAATAAGGGGGCGGAGAAATAGAAAAATACACCTAGATGGAAGACAGTCATTAGATGCAGAGAGCAAAGATACAACACATCAATTCAAATGTCCATGTTTCCATTCATGCAACACCTTTTCACCCGAATATATGAAAGACTGCAGTGAATCAGAGAAAGTACGTTCCAGAAATGAAGCTTTACTAATCAGATACTTCACTGGGACAAGTGAATTTAACCTCAAACATAAGAAAATCTTCATTGTTTAAGCAAATACACTAGGAAACCAATTACGGTTTTTAAAAAAAATCACTGCAGATAGTTTGTATTACTGTTTCCTCAACACTGTCTTTTTTTTTTTTTTTTTTTTTTTTTTTTTGAGACGGAGTTTCGCTCTCGTTACCCAGGCTGGAGTGCAATGGCGCGATCTCGGCTCACCGCAGCCTCCGCCTCCTGGGTTCAGGCAATTCTCCTGCCTCAGCCTCCTGAGTAGCTGGGATTACAAGCACGCGCCACCATGCCCAGCTAATTTTTTGTATTTTTAGTAGAGACGGGGTTTCACCATGTTGACCAGGATGGTCTCGATCTTGTGACCTCGTGATCCAACCACCTCGGCCTCCCAAAGTGCTGGGATTACAGGCTTGAGCCACCGCGCCCGGCCAACACTGTCTTTTAATCAAGTATTTTTCAGGAAGGAAGGGAGTTGCTGCTGCATATTCCTGCGGAGGGAAATCCTCAGAGATCCCGGCAGCTCTTACCTTCCGGGCCCAACACCTTTTCCCCGTCCCACGGTAACCAGCAGGTGTTCTAAACAGCACGTTTCACTATTCCTACCATTCACTGGGGGAGCACGAATGGCTATGCGTCCGCCTGGTTCAAATTCCGCTCTGCACGTGAGCCAGGTGACCTTAGGCAGTTATTGAACCTCTGTCCCAGTGTGAGAATGTAACAGTGGCTCCTCCTTTATGGAGTGGCAAAGAACTGAAAGCATTAAGACATGGAAGCATTTACAGCCGTTCTTGGCACACAGCAAATGCTCTATAAATGTTAGATTTGTCCTTAAAACAAAATACAAGGAGTTGTCACAGGTCTCATCGGACACTAGGACACCATGCAACAAAGAGCAGTTGATACTTCCGTGATGAAAGGAAGAAGACGGAAGGATGCAAGGGCACTGCACGCACAGCTGTCACTAAAATATGTCCAATCCGAAGAAGATGAAAGTACCCTTTGGGTCGTGTGCTTGAACATAAGTGAGAGTAGATTAGATTCGTCTCTCAAGACGTTCTAAAACGGAGAGGCACACTGAATGTACATTCAGGCTAAATGCCAGAACCCTGAGTGCAAGATCAACATTCAGACAAAGATGAGCAGAGAGCATCGCTATCACTTAATGTATTTCTCGGATACCAGCCCAACTTTTAGAGTATCAAAAAATTATAACTGTGTTATTAGAAATGTTGGTAATAATGTTAAAGTTTGACAAGGCAGTTCAGAAACAAGAATCTCTCAGTATGGTCGTCCAGCATAGCTGCTCAACTGTGCAGCACCTGTGATTCCAAATAGATGTTCCCTTTCCCCACAGTCAGCAAGGAGGCGAAATATCTGCCAGCTAGCTCTCCTGGGATACTGCAGACAGTGAGACGGTCAATAGGCTTTATTTTCTTTCAGAGTGACTAAATATTTTTCTTTAATATTATGAATGCTAGAGTATCTCAATCAATTCTATAGAATATAATAATACTATAATTTACTCTTTTTTATTCTGCCTTATATTACCTGAATTTTTATTTATTTATTTATTTTTATTTTTTATTTTTTATTTTTTATTTTTATTTTTATTTTTTTTTGAGACGGAGTTTCGCTCTTGTTACCCAGGCTGGAGTGCAATGGCGCGATCTCGGCTCACTGCAACCTCCGCCTCCTGGGCTCAGGCAATTCTCCTGCCTCAGCCTCCTAAGTAGCTGGGATTACAGGCACACGCCACCATGCCCAGCTAATTTTTTGCACCTTTAGTAGAGACGGGGTTTCACCATGTTGACCAGGATGGTCTCGATCTCTCGACCTCGTGATCCACCCGCCTCGGCCTCCCAAAGTGCTGGGATTACAGGCTTGAGCCACCGCGCCCGGCCCTATTTTTTATTTTTTTGAGACGGAGTTTCGCTCTTGTTACCCAGGCTGGAGTGCAATGGCGCGATCTCGGCTCACTGCAACCTCCGCCTCCTGGGTTCAAGCAATTCTCCTGCCTCAGCCTCCTGAGTAGCTGGGACTACAGGCACGCGCCGCCATGCCCAGCTAATTTTTTTGTATTTTTAGTAGAGACGGGGTTTCACCATGTTGACCAGGATGGTCTCGATCTCTCGACCTTGTGATCCACCCGCCTTGGCCTCCCAAAGTGCTGGGATTACAGGCTCGAGCCACCGCGCCCGGCACTACCTGAATTTTTATAAATGTTGATTGGCTCAAAATGGTTGTGTTCCTCCTAAAGGTATCCAGTTACCTTTCTCAACATTCATATAAACTGTTAATCTAGTTCCTTAGTTAGCTCACTGTCTAAATAGTCACAGTAAATGTTAACCCTCCTTTTTTTTTTTTTTTGGTGGAGGATGCGGGCAATGATCCAACCCTATTTCTTTAATAAAACATATGTCTTGTTTTGAATAATACATTGAAATTGTTCTGAATAGTAAATTAACAGCTTTCACAATCATCAGAAGAGCAGAGTGATCACAGAAACCAACAGGACAGCACGTTTAAGAAGAAATCGATAAAGTCAAGTGCTTCTGAGAGGTCAAGAATGACTGCAGCATCCATTAGATCTGGAGACGTGGTGACTGTTTCAGAAGGGCGGTGAGGACAGAAGTCAGGCCTGGGCTAAAGAGAGGAACAAGCAGAGGGGAGGAAGTGAAGAAGGCTGCACGCAACTCTGAAAGCGGCGGCTGACGGAGAATGTGGGGTCCGGAGGGCACTTACACAGGAGAGACTGAGCATGTTTAAATGCTGTTTGGAAGACTAGCGGTGGGAGAAAGGAGATGAATACACCGAGAAAGGAAGGAGCTAGCTGACAGTGTGAAGTTTTCATGAAGTCAGTGGGAGAGAGGATCCGAAGCGTGAAGAGGTCGGAGGGGAGATGGCACCCCGGTGGTTACCACAGGGGAAGGAGCCCAGGAGGTGTGCAGCTGTAGCAGGCTGGTACCTTCGGGAGTGGGAGGGTGATGAAGCTCCTACCTAATGGCTCCTAATTACTCCGTGACATAGAAGGAAATGCTGCATCCAGAAAATGAAAAAGTATGATGGGGAAAGGGTACAGTGGGAGGCAGTGCCAGGGTTTTGAGGAGAAATTAAAACAGTCATTAGAGAAGGTGGGAGAAAGAGTGAACCCAAGAGCCAGGGATGGCCAAGACCTGGAACATAAGTGACCAGGAACTCACTGGGGCTCTGCCAAAGGTTCCTTGTTTCAGAATATCGATGACTGGAAATTTGCTGGAGTTCCAGCTGGGCCCATGATGTGACTTGTAGTGCTCAGCTTGTAGGAACAAGCCGAGAGAAGGCAGATAGTGGAATCACTCAGGAGGAGTTTTGCTAGCAAGGCAGAGAAAAAAGTCCAAAGGGCCAGACAGATGGAACTGCATGGGTATTTATGAACCCGGAAAAGTGCTGGAGATGGAGCTGGGATCTAAGCTACACATTGAAGAGAGAGGGCAGACTGGGAGAACGTAGAGGGGATGAGACGCTGGAGGTCCGTACAAGAGCCAGGCGGTTCTGCGTCAAGGAGTTCAACAAGCTGCAGGTGGAAAAGAACTGGTGGGCAGGGGAGAGAATGCCCGACTGTCACCTGCTAATTATCATTGATATTCATTAGGTTATCGGAACTAATTATTAATGAGTTTGATCACCAGTCATTAATACATTAAGGTCAGACCTCTGTGATACAAGGTGTTCAGATTTCTAGTCTGTAAAAAGCTCTTAGAAATCATTAAGAAAGGCCAGGCACAGTGGCTCACGTCTGTAATCCCAGCACTTTGGGAGGCTGAGGTGAGTGGATCACTTGAGGTCAGCAGTTCAAGACCATCCTGGCCAACATGGTGAAACCCCGTCTCTACTAAAAATGTAAAAATTAGCCAGGCACGGTGGCGCACACCTGTAGTCCCAGCTACTCAGGAGGCTGAGGCAGGAGAATTGCTTGAACCCAGGAAGCAGAGGTTGCAGTGAGCTGAGATCACGCCACTGCATTCCAGCCTGGGCGGCAGAGCAAGAATCCGTCTCAAAAAAAAGAAAGAAATCATTATGAAGAGGACCGACACCACAATGGGAATGAACGAAACACCCTACTTGGCTGGAGACTCCTCTTCTGGGGTGCCCTTGGTCTCCTCCACCACTGTCGGTTCCTCTATCGGTGCAGTTGGCTCCACGTCACTGAAAAACAGCAAGACTCTCTAGTCACACAAATATGTTCACATCAATGCCTTTGCATGTTTAAGAAGACTTTTTTGAGACTGAGGCTGGAGTACGATGGTGCAATCTCGGCTCACTGCAACCTCTACCCAGGTTCAAGCAGTTCTCCTCCCTCAGCCTCCCAAGTAGCTTGGATTACACGTATCCACCAGCATACCCAGCTAATTTTTTTTTTGTATTTTTAGTAGAGATGCGGTTTCACCATGTTGGCCAGGCTGGTCTCGAACAACTGACCTCAAGCGATCCACTCGCCTTGGCCTCCCAAAGTGCTGGGGTTACAGGTGTAAGCTGCAGTGCCCAGTCTTTGAGGGCTTTAAAAATAAGTTTTTAAGGCCGGGCGCGGTGGCTCACGCCTATAATTCCAGCACTTTGGGAGGCCAAGGCGAGTGGATCACGAGGTCAGGAGATCGAGACCACCCTGGTCAACACGGTGAAACCCCGTCTCTACTAAAAATACAAAAAATTAGCTGGGCATGGTGGCGCGTGCCTGTAATCCCAGCTACTCGGGAGGCTGAGGCAGGAGAATTGCTTGAACCCAAGAGGCAGAGGTTGCGGTGAGCCGAGATCGCGCCATTGCACCCCAGCCTGGATAACAAGAGTGAAACTCTGTCTCAAAAAATAAACAAATAAATAAATAAGTTTTTTTTTAAAGTAACCATAAATTGAACCACAATAATGGAAAAGACTTTTCAATTTAAATAATTATTAAATTCTCAACTCTAAGCTACTGTAATCAATTTTTTAAAACCTGTTTCTTAAAACAAAACTTGAATAATTAACTTTTATTTTTTTAAATGAAGGTTCCAGGCCGGGTACAGTGGGTCATACCTGTAATCCTAGCACTTTGGGAGGCCAAGGAGGGTGGATCACTTGAGGCCAGGAGTTTGAGACCAGCCTGGCCAACATGGCAAAATCTCATCTCTACTAAAAATACAAAAATTAGCTGGGCATGGTGGCTGGAGTGCAGTGGCACCATCACAGCTCACTGTAGTCTTGACCTTCTGGGATCAAGAGATCTTCCCACCTCAGCCTCTGGAGTAGCTGGGACTACAGGCACACACTACCATGCCCAGCTAATTTTTTGTATTTTTTTTTTTTTTTTTTTTTTGAGACGGAGTTCCGTTCTTGTTACCCAGGCTGGAGTGCAATGGCGCGATCTCGGCTCACCGCAACCTCCACCTCCTGGGTTCAGGCAATTCTCCTGCCTCAGCCTCCTGAGTAGCTGGGATTATAGGCATGCACCACCATGCCCAGCTAATTTTTTGTATTTTTAGTAGAGACGGGGTTTCACCATGTTGACCAGGTTGGTCTCGATCTCTCGACCTCGTGATCCACCCGCCTCAGCCTCCCAAAGTGCTGGGATTACAGGCTTGAGCCACCGCGCCCGGCCAATTTTTTGTATTTTTTATAGAGATGGGGTTTCACTTTGTTGCTCAGACTGGTCTTGAACTCCTAGGCTCAAGTGATCCACCTGCCTCAGCCTCCTTATGCCTAGGATCACGGGTATGAACCACAAAAAAAAAATTTGAGTATTTCTTAAACTCAAGCAATTAGTTTATTTTACAGAAAAGAAAAATCACAGATCTCCTCCATGTTTATTTTATAAGTGAATATAAAATATTATGCCTACAGCTCTTATAGAACCATATGATCAAAACTACAAGACAATTAAGTTTCAAAATTAGCCGCAATTAATTTGGTAGGTTCTGCTATTTTGTTGAAAGTAAATCGCCAATGTTATATTTATCAGAAGAGAGATGTAACCCCAGGGCCCATGTCTATATTTTGACTTCAGTTGTACTACTGTAGAAAATGCCTGTTTGTGCACATATGTTCCATAAAATGATGTTACACAGTTCAAGGCTTTGTCACCTCGTTCAAATTCAACCAGACTTCACACTTCATCAAATCTCTGACAATGAACAGATTTTCATCAAATGTTGCTTTGAGAATAAATAAAAGTGTCTTGCTCTTCACAATAAAAGTTGAAAGGCAGCGTTATTGAAAACTGCATTCATGGGTATCTATTCCAATTTTAACAAGTAAATAATATCTGACACACTTTAATTATTGCAGATGGAAAAATTCTATTTCAGCACAAATAGGCAAAATTGTATTTTAGCAATGTCAAACTACTGAAGGAAAGCAGTATTACTGAAATGGCTTGGTCATAGCAGTTTGAAGGGATTTTGTCCTTAAATCTAGTTATTGCCATCAGTGTCTTCAAATGAGAATACTGAACTACAGCAAAGCCCTTACACCTTTAATACACTGCGAAGCACTTGGGCTTTGCCCGCCACAAACACATCACTTACTGTGTTAGGCTCACCTCCGCTTTCTTCTCACTAATCAGAAGTAGCGCATAACTCCTGCACACTACATCATTTTCATGACCTCAAGCCGATTTGTTAAGAAATAAACTTATTACTCGATTTATTAAAAAACATATTAAGTAAATGTATAAATTAATATTTATCTCTATTAAGAAATCAATCTTGCCGGGCGCGGTGGCTCAAGCCTGTAATCCCAGCACTTTGGGAGGCCGAGGCGGGTGGATCACGAGGTCAAGAGATTGAGACCATACTGGTCAACATGGTGAAACCCCGTCTCTACTAAAAATACAAAACATTAGCTGGGCATGGTGGCGCGTGCCTGTAATCCCAGCTACTCAGGAGGCTGAGGCAGGAGAATTGCCTGAACCCAGGAGGCGGAGGTTACCGTGAGCCGAGATCGTGCCATTGCACTCCAGCCTGGGTAACAAGAGCGAAACTCCGTCTCAAAAAAAAAAAAAAGAAAAGAAAAAAAAGAAATCAATCTTATTCTAAGAAAAGCTTTCCGTTACAGATTATAACCACCTAAGAGCTTTGACCAGATGGGGATGGTGGCTCATGCCTGTAGTCTTAGCTCTTCGGGAAACAAAGCAGGTGAATTGCTTGAGCCTAGGAGTTTGATACAAATCTGGGAAACATGGCAGACCCGCATCTCTATAAAAATACAAAAAACGCCAGGCACCGCAGCTCACACCTGTAATCCCAGCACTTTGGGAGGCCAAGGCAGGTGGATCACGAGGTCAAGAGATCGAGACCATTCTGGCCAATATGGTGAAACCCCTGTCTCTACTAAAAATACAAAAGTTAGCTGGTCATGGTGGTGCACACCTGTAGTACCAGCTACTTGGGAGGCTAAGGCAGGAGAATTGCTTGAACCTGGGAGGCAGAGGTTGCAGTAAGCAGAGATTGTGCCACTGTATTCCAGCCTAATGACAGAGCAAGACTCCATTTCAAAAAAAAAAAAAATATATATATATATATATATACACACACACACACACACACATACACACACACACACATATACATATATATAAAATCAAGGTAAAATAAAAAGATCTGTCATCAAGATCCTAAAGAACACCAGATAATCACTTGACAAGTTTCTTTTCAAGGACAACACAGATAAGCAATGGTGGTAAATCTAACATTGTTACATTTAATGTTAGTTTGTACATTTGTCTTTAAGGACAACAATTTAAGAAAAATAAATTCATGTAAAAAGCTTATATTCTGGCAGGGCATGGTGGCTCACGCCTATGATCCCAGCACTTTGGGAGGCCGAGGTCAGGAGTTCGAGACCAGCCTGACCAACATGGTGAAATCCTGTCCCTACTAAAAATACAAAATTAGCCAGGTGTGGTGGTGTGCACCTGTAGTCCCAGCTACTCAGGAGGCTGACACAGGAGAAATCACCTGAAGTGGGGTGGCGGAGATTGCAGTGAGCCAAAATCATACCACTGCACTGCAGCCTGGGTGACAGAGCAAGACTCCATCTCAAAAGAAAAACAGCTTATATTCTTTAAAATAGAAAAAGTAGAAGCCTGGATCCCCTCAAGCCTTTGCACTAGTAGGAAGCCTGCCCTGTAGCACTGCTCACACCACACTGCCTGCAGCAGGCCCGACTCTTCCTCTGCAGACACCAGGAAGGCAACACTCCTCCAGCTGTGAAATCAAACAGTGCAGAACCACGTATCCACTCCAACTAGCAGAAGAACTGGCACAGATCTAAGGTACCATGAAGCCTCAGAGAAATGTCCAACTCGAGCCTCAGGTGAAACCTGTCACTAAGCTTCAATCTACATTGAATAAAATTTTATAAAATGAACATGTATCAAGGATCCACACAAATTTTGAAAGGTCAAAACATATAGAATATCCAGGAATTTAAAAAGTATTTTGGGCTGAATGTGTTGGCTCTTGCCTGTAATCCTAGCACTTTGAGAGGCTGAGGCAGGAGGACTGCTTGAGTGTAGGAGTTCAAGACCAGCGTGGGGAACATAGTGAGACACTGTCTCTATTTTTAAAAATAATAAAATTAAAGAAAACAGCCAGGGACAGTGGCTTATGCCTGTAATCCCAGCACTTTGGGACACTGAGGTGGGCAGATCACAAGGTCAGGGGTTTGAGACTAGCCTCACCAACATGGTGAAACCTCGACTCTACTTAAAAATACAAAAATTAGCCAGGCATGGTGGCGCACACCTGTAACCTCAGCTACTTGGGAGGCTGATGCAGGGGAATTGCTTGAACCCAGGAGGCAGAGGTTGTGGTGAGCCGAGACCACACCATTGCACTCCAGCCTGGGCGACAGAGGGAGACTCTGTTTCCAAAAAAATTGATTAATTAATTAAACAATACAAAACAAAAAGTTTTTTGTTTTTTTTTTTTAAATTGAGATGCCGAGTCTTGCTATGTTGCCCAGTCTGGAGTGCAGTGGCACAAGCTTGGCTCACTGCAACCTCTGCCTCCCAGGTTCAACTGATTATCCTGCCTCAGCCTCCTGAGTAGCTGGGAATACAAGAGCCCACCACCATGCTCGGCTAATTTTTGTATTTTTAGTAGAGATAGGGTTTCACCATATTGGCCAGGCTGGTCTCAAATGCCTCACCTCAAGCAATTCGCCCACCTTGGCCTCCCAAAGTACTGGGATTACAGGCGGGAGCCACCGTGAGCAGCCACAACAAAGCATTTTGAGGCATGTGCAAATGTACAGTGCCCTATGTTTGAGGCATCAGCAAATACCTGGTCCCTTGTCATAAATATGTTTGACTAAAGTAATAAAATTTTAGGCCGGGCGCGGTGGCTCAAGCCTGTAATCCCAGCACTTTGGGAGGCCAAGGCGGGTGGATCACGAGGTCAAGAGATTGAGACCATCCTGGTCAACATGGTGAAACCCCGTCTCTACTAAAAATACAAAAAATCAGCTGGGCATGGTGGCGCGTGCCTGTAATCCCAGCTACTCAGGAGGCTGAGGCAGGAGAATTGCCTGAGCCCGGGAGGCGGAGGTTGCGGTGAGCTGAGATCGCGCCATTGCACTCCAGCCTGGGTAACAAGAGCGAAACTCCGTCTCAAAAAAAAAAAAAAAAAAAAAAAAAATTTAAAAGCAGTTTCATATCTAATTGCAACACAGCAAACCTGTTTTAAAAAGTTATCTCACTAAACAAAAGTCTAAAACCAATCTCTACTTAAGGGCACACAAGTGTAAAAGCACAACACAGAAGAGATTATTTTCAAGCCAAGCAAAGATCCAGAGATTTCCACTTAATTGCAGGGTCTCGGAGGGCACACACTTACACCGTACCTGGTATCTTTACCTGATCCCCAGGTGCGAACTCCACAGCCACCCATGTTGTCTTCGGTTCTGACTGTTCTACAGAAAGAAAGAATAGTCCCTTAAACCAGAAGCTGCTCTCCAGTCAATCTCCAAATCAGAAAGAGCTGTTCATAAAAGTCCCAGGATCAGCTTCTCACAACAATAACAGCATAGTCAGTTAAGTAAGTATTAACGCGTAACAGAGTCATACCACGTGTTGCCAACAACTTAAAAGTGAAAATAGCATTTACAAAGAAACTTACATTTTGTCATTCCCACCGTATCTTTCAAATTCTCGCTTCCCTCTCTGGTCAAAAGCATCAAAAACTCTGTTCCCAGGGCCACCTCTGCCTCGGCCGCGAATACCCCCTCTCGGGCCTCCACGTCCTCTCAGCGGTCTGTCTCGATCAAACCTATCACCTGGTCTAGGAAGAAATACAGATATAATAAAAACTGGTAAATTAAAGGTCTAAGGTCTTCTCCAGAAAAAAATGCTGAAAGAAAATCATGGCTATAGTATACTGGAAAGAATAGTGGCTTGAATCATAAATTAATAGTTAACGTTTACTGAGCACATACTATAGACTACATAGTTGGCATTGTTCTGAGCACTTTACATATAGTAATTGGATTCTCACAAACAAATCTTTAATATATAATAATTGCCTAGAGGTGAGAAACCGAAGTACAGCGTAGGCTAAGTGGTGGAGCCAGCCCAGGAGACACAGGTACTAGACGGGCCTAGTACTGATCCGAGTGGGACATTCCTTTCTCTCGCTGGATCTATTTCTTTATTCAAAAAATGAAGATGTTAGATAAATAAACTCGAAGTTTCATTCCTGTTCTAATACTAAATCCTCAAGTTAAATTTGGAATATTTTATGTAAGAAAAATGGTTGAACTTCAAAATTATGCCCCTTCTGAAGTCTCCCTCCCAAACACACAAGCGGCCGGTAACATCTGTAACTGTGAAAACCTTCCCCCGCCTTCCACCTCATCACTCCGCAGAAATGGCCAAGGGCAGCTCAACATCTCTTTATGAAGCCCAATAGCAACTTTTGTCTTCAAGTCATTTGACCCAGTGTCCTATGACACTGCTGGCCGCTGCTTTTCCCAACTTTCTGGCTTCTCTTTCTCTGCCTGCCTGTAGAAAATTATTTCTGGAATAGGTAATGGCCAAACGTGGTACAAAACTCACACGGTTCCTCAGCCACGCAAACGCACGTAGAGGCAGCCACTTCAAGAGTCACATAAGGGAAAGGTTCGACGCCTGCCGCTCGTGCCTAACCTTTGTCTTGGTGCGCTACACGGATACCCGTCTGTCCTGACCCTTGTCAGCACCCTGACTTCTCTTTCCCCGCCACGTCCTCCTGGCCTCCATGCTAATGCTAACTGGTCCCCTGTCTGTACTTCCTAGACATCTCCACCTGGATATTCCCGGGGTCGGTACCTACATGCCCAACACAGAGGGAGCCCTTCTTCCTCCTGTGGTCCCCAGTTCACAACAGGAGAGCCAGTCCAAGTCACTCCTCCCTCCTCTTCCTCTGCCACATCAGAGCCTGAACCCAGGACGTGATCACCCACCCACTCCGCCCTGCAGCATCGCTGCTCACCATCACTCCTTCTGAGGACCTGTCTCTCCTTCACTAAGCTCTAAGCTGCAGCATGAAAGGATTATGTCTCTTTCACCACTGTAACACTAGATTAGTAAGAGAATTATTTTCTACTTTGTCAAGGCTTTTAAAAACATTTAAAGTGACGAGAAATTACTCATTTAATAAAGGTCCTGGCTCAAGAAACCTAGCGGCATTAGTAACTCAAACACCGGCACAAGAGGTATTTTACAGTCTACTTTTATGGCTAAAAGTGTTAGACTAAGAAGCCGCTATACAGCACTGCATAAAAAGAGACAAAACTCACAATTTACCTTACTCAAAAAATAAAGAAACACAGAAGTGCTAAACATTAACGTTATGCCAGTCTCTTATAAGAAACATCAACCTAGGCCGGGCGCGGTGGCTCAAGCCTGTAATCCCAGCACTTTGGGAGGCCGAGGCGGGTGGATCACGAGGTCAAGAGATCGAGACCATCCTGGTCAATATGGTGAAACCCCGTCTCTACTAAAAATACAAAAAATTAGCTGGGCGTGGTGGCGCGTGCCTGTAATCCCAGCTACTCAGGAGGCTGAGGCAGGAGAATTGCCTGAACCCAGGAGGCGGAGGTTGCGGTGAGCCGAGATCACGCCATTGCACTCCAGCCTGGGTAACAAGAGAGAAACTCCGTCTCAAAAAAAAAGAAAAAAGAAAAAGAAACATCAACCTAAATAAATTCTCCAAGTTGGCTTTTCTGTCTCCCACCCCCCTCCCCTAATCAAAAATAGAAATCTTTGTAAAACCTGATTCTAAACTACAGCAAATATCTACAGCAGGCTGCGCTCAGTGACTCATGCCTGTAATCCCAGCAGTTTGGGAGGCCGAGGCAGGAGGATCACTTGAGGTCAGGAGTTTGAGACCAGCCTGGTCAACATGCTGAAATCCCATCTTTACTAAAAATACAAAAATTAGCCAGGCATGGTGGCGGGCACCTGTAATCCCAGCTACTTGTGAGGCTCAGGCAGGAGAATCGCTTGAACCTGGGAGGCAGAGGTTGCAGTGAGCCAAGATTGCGCACTGCACTCCAACCCAGGTGACAAGGTGAGACCCTGTCTCAAAAAAAAAAAAAAAAAAATCTAAAGCAGGCTGAGAGTGGTGGCTCAAGCCTGTAATCCCAGCACTTTGGGAGGCCAAGGCAGTTAAATCGTTTGAGCCCAGGAGTTTGAAATCAGCTTGGGTAACACGGTAAAACCCCATCTCTACCAAAAAGTATAAAAATTAGCCAGGCATGGTGGTGTGTACCTGTAATCTCAGTTACTTAGGAGGATGAGGTGGGAGGATTACTTGAGCCCAGAAGTGCAGTGAGCTGAGATCCTGCCACTGCACTCCAGCCTGGGCAACAGAACAAGACCCTCCCTCAAAAAAGGAAATCTAAAGTAGGGTTCTAAACAAAAGAATAGTTTTTGTTTTTTTTTGAGACAGTATCTCATTCTGTTGCCCAAGCTGGAGCGCAGTGGTCCAATCACTGCTCGGTGCAGCCTTCACCTCTCGACCTCAAACAATCTTCCCACGTCAGTCCTCCAAACAGCTGAGACTACAGGCATGTGCCACCACACCCAGCTAATTCGTGTGACTTTTATACAGATGGGGGTTTCACCATGTCACCCAGGCTGGTCTCAAACTCCTGGGCTCAAGAGAGCTGCCTGCCTAGGCCTCCCAAAGTGATAGGATTACAGGTATGAGCCACTGTGTGCCCAGCCAACAGTAAATTTTTTTTTTTTTGAGACAAAGCCTTGTTCCGTCTCCCAGACTGGAGTGAAGGGTGCAATCTCAGCTCACTACAGCCTCTGCCTCCTGGGATCAAGTGATTCTCTCATGCCTCAGCCTCTCCAGTGGTTGAGATTACAGGTGTGTGCCACCATGCCTGGCTATTTTTTTTTTTTTTTTTGAGACAAGAGTCTCGCTCTATCACACAGGCCATAGTGCAGTATTGCAATCTTGGCTCACCGCAACCTCCGCGTCCTGGGTTCAGGCAATTCTCCTGCCTCAGCCTCCTGAGTAGCTGGGCTTACAGGCACGCACCACCATGCCCAGCTAATGTTTTGTATTTTTAGTAGAGACGGGGTTTCACCATGTTGACCAGGATGGTCTCGATCTCTTGACCATGTGATCCACCCACCTCAGCCTCCCAAAGTGCTGGGATTACAGGCGTGAGCCACCGCGCCTAGCCCCATTTTAATCATTTTTAAGTGTTCAATTCTGTAGCATTAAGTACATTCACACTGTTGTGCAACTATCATCACCATCCTTCTCCAGAACTGTTTATGTTTTCAAACTGAAACCTGGTATCCAGTCAACACTGAACTCCTTATTCATACCTCCACGAGCTCCAAGCTCTCCACCTGTGAAACAGCGTCATGTCTACTTGCTAGAATTGTTGTAAGACAGTGAATCACAGATCACAGGTATATAAAGCAGGGTGCTTGGCTCACATGTTATTTTCCTTCCTTTTGCTTGTGAGTTTGTCACAAATAAAACTTTTTAGGTTTTACTTAAGAGTATTTTTATTCGGTGGCTCACACCTGCAATCCTAGCACTTTGGGAGGCTGAGGTGGGTGGATCATGAGGTCAGGAGTTCAAGACCAGCCTGACCAATATAGTAAAACCCTGTCTCTACCAAAAAAAAAAAAAACAAAAAAACAAAAAAACAAAAACAAAAATTAGACAGGCATAGTGATGTGTGCCTGTAATCCCAGCTACTCAGGAGAAAGGCAGGAGAATCACATGAACCTGGGAGGCGGATGTTGTGGTGAGCCGAGATCATGTCACTACACTCCAGCCTGGGTAACAGAGTGTCTCCAAAAAAAAGCAAAGTATTTTTATTATTTTTAAGAGTATTATCTGGCTGGCTGCGGTGGCTCACGCCTGTAATCCCAGCACTTTGGAAGGTCAAGGTGGGTGGATCATGAGGTCAGGAGATCGAGACCATCCTGGCCAACATGTTGAAACCCTGTCTCTACTAAAAATACAAAAATTAGCTGAAGGTAGTAACATGTGCCTGTAGTCCCAGCTACTCAGGAGGCTGAAGCAGGAGAATCACTTGAACCCAAGAGGCAGATATTACAGTGAGCAGAGATCGAGCCACTGCACTCCAGCCTGGGCAACAGAGAGAGACTCCATCTCAAAAAAAAAAAAAAAAAAAAACAACTATTACATTTTTTTCTCTACATCTTTCTTTTTTTTAAAATTTAATTTCCTTTAGGTGCATACTATAGCTGGCATTTCTCCCCCTGTTATCCTTCCCCACCCTCCCAAAAGTATTACTTATTAAGAGTATTTTTTGGAAACAGAAAATATTTTCCGATATCACGATTTATTTAAAAAATTCAAATTTCCTTGAAAGTGAAAATTCTCTACATATCTCTAATGTGGTGTGCTGAGAACGCATTACTTCTGTGGCATTCCTACCAAACATGCATAACCTCATTCCACGAGGAAACATCAGAAAAACTCAAAGTCTGGGACATACTATAAAATAACTGGCCCACACTCTTCAAAATCCCAAATTCATAAAGACAAAGGAAGGCTTAAGGAGCTGTGCCTAATTAAAGATGACTAACCACAATGCGTTTGCCTGGAGGGGATCCTGAACGAGAAATGTTTTCTCTTGTTTAAAGATATCACTGGGACAACTGGTGAAATGAGAGGAAAGTCTGTAGACTACGCAATTCAGAGAATTAGGTAACAGTATTATATTCATCTTAATGAGTCTGAAAATTGCATGGTGTTTTTAGGAAATGCATTTAAAGTATTTAGGAGTAAGGGGGCATTCCTACACCTTATTCTCAAATAACAAGGAATGGCTGTGTGGTGTGGTGGGGGGTGAGAAAGCAAATGTGGTAAAAAGTTAGTATGTGGGGATTCTAGATGAAAGGCAGATGGAAATTCTTTATATAAATTCTTGAAACTTTTCTGTAATTCTGAATTTATTTTAAAAGAAAAAACCCTCCATGATCCCATAACCCACCTTATTCTTCCATATATGTAATATTTCACTTAATAGCTATTTTTTTTACATCACATATAAAAATCTGTTTTAGCCAGGCACGGTGGCTCAAGTCTGTAATCCCAGCACTTTGGGAGGCCAAGGTGGATGGATCACGAGGTCAAGAGATCGAGACCATCCTGGTCAACATGGTGAAACCCCGTCTCTACTAAAAATACAAAAAATTAGCTGGGCATGGTGGCGCGTGCCTGTAATCCGAGCTACTCAGGAGGCTGAGGCAGGAGAATTGCCTAAACCCAGGAGGCGGAGGTTGCGGTGAGCCGAGATGGCGCCATTGCACTCCAGCCTGGGTAACAAGAGCGAAACTTCGTCTCAAAAAAAAAAAAAAAATATATATATATATATCTGTTTTATCCTTTTTAAAGACTACACAGTATTGCTACTATAAAAAGGGGGGGAAACATGAGTTTGTTCATATGAACAATAATTTCCTCTTTTCCACAGAATCCCTGAAATAAGGGGGAAATAAATACCCAAATGATTCCAAAAATAAGCAGGTCTGATCCAAGAAGCTTTGCAGAAGCAAGTGGACTGTGTTTATTACTCAGCAAATTTGAAGTAATCACCAAAAAGGGGGCAAAATTAAGCCTTTCTATAAGTTTCTCTCCAACATGGTTGCATCAAGACCATTTCATTGTCTTGAATGCGTAACTTCTAGGTGAGTATCTCTGCATGAATCAGCACCTGCTCAGCCCGCCCAGGTTGTTACTCTCTGCTAGAGTTTTTTTGTTTTAACAGGCTCTATAGTATAGTTTTACAAAACCAAATTATTTGGTTAAAACCTGTAGCCAGAATCCTAAGTGGAAAGGAATTAGCAGTCAAGAAGCTGGAAGTTGGGAAAAATGGCTCCCTTGGCATTTAACTGTTTACTATTCTAGTCTTCCTTAGCCTTTTTCACTTTATTTTCCTTGAAATCTGATTCACTAGTTGTTTCTGTTTCACATAAACAGCTGTAATGATTAAACAAAGGCTCTAAGCAGCAAGCACCCACCTTGCTAGTGCCAAGCGTAAGACACCAATAACCGCTCCCTGCGTTCAGGTGGGGTGTGGCGGCCACCACGCTGCCCCAGCACTCAGGAGCAACACGACACTCCACCAGCCCACGACTGCTGTCTGTGTTAGAGTGCTTCCAAGAGCAGGCATGCCCGCCAGAAATTGGGATTACACATCAGACAGACTTTTCTTCAGATCTCAGCATGGCAGCCTATAGACCTGACCGTGGAGCTAGGAATTTATTTTAATCCATTGAGCAGTCTAAATTAGTAATACTAAATCAAAACCATAATTATATCCCTAGTCCAAAATTGTATGTCTAATCCAGAACTTCAAAAGAAAACTGAACCAGTTCAACACACTCCTGTGTAACTTCTTTTTACAAGTGCTCTTCACAGTTACCAATAAGCAATTCACTTTTAATTGTACAATCATTTTCTGAACCAAGATGTAAAGTCATCTGTGAAGCAAAAGGAAGATCCCTCCCACCATCTAAGGTAACATGAACTGCACATAAATTAGGAAAGCATCCCTAGGGCTGGCAACACAAAAAGCCGTAGCCAGCAGAAGCAGCGTTTTTTGAAAACCTTTCCGGCTCCCCACCCACCCTGCCGAGAACTGCAGCACTTACTTTTCATCCGCAAACTTCTCAGCTGTGAAGTCCCCCGGCCTCTCAGTCTCATAGGGTCGGTATTCCCTGTAGGGTCTCCGCTCGGCTCTTTCAAGCGTCCCCTCGGGCCCACGGCTGTCATTCCATCCTGGCTGCTCCCCTCTTCTAGGGGTCCGCTTCTGGCCTACCCGAAAATCAAAGCAGAGAGCTGGAACACAACGTCTGCGAGAGTATTAAACTTTACAGGTACTTGCAAATTTTAAGTTGTTGATACTACGACTGCCCACAGTCTACTACTTTTTAATAGAACATTACTATTAAATCATGCTTTCCCTACAGCCTAGAAAGTATATGACAAACTAAGCCCACCTATAATTACAGGCGCCTCCCAAAAGCTGTGACAGTCGGTGTATTTTACTAAATACGCTACAGTTCACAAAAGCAGCTTGACAAAAACACCGTATGGAACCCCTATCTAGAAAATGAAAGAATACCCTGTATTTCAGAATGTACTTTTAGAATCCCAACTGCACATAAAACCACGGCAACCATGGCTAATCACTGGCATACTACTAAGGTTTTTGTTTCTATTTATTTATTTATACTTGAGACAGAGTCTCACTCTGTCACACAGGCTGGACTGCAGTGCACTGTGCAATCTCGTCTCACTGCAACCTCTGCCTCCCAGGCTCAAGCAGTTCTGTGCCTCAGCCTCCGGAGAAGCTGGGATCACAGGCATGCACCACCACACCCAGCTCATTTTTGCTATTTTTAGTAGAGACAGGGTTTCACCATGCTGGCCAGGCTGGTCTCAAACTCCCAGCTTCCAGCAATTCACCCACCTCAGCCTCCTGAAATTACATGGATGCTTTAAACATCTCACCTCAGCCTCCTGAAATTACTGGGATTACATGGATGAGCCACCGTGCCTGGCCAAGGTTTTTGTTTTTAAGAGTTTGTAGTTTCTATTTTTTATTTTTTTGAGACGGAGTTTCGCTCTTGTCACCCAGGCTGGAGTGCAATGGCGCGATCTCGGCTCACCGCAACCTCCGCCTCCTGGGTTCAGGCAATTCTCCTGCCTCAGCCTCCTGAGTAGCTGGGATTACAGGCACGTGCCACCATGCCCAGCTAATTTTTTGTAGTTTTTATATTTTTGTTTTGAAAACAGGTTTTCCTGCTATTCTATGAGATATATAGACTTGCAATTATAACTTCTTGAATATGGACCAAAACCTCCCAACTTGCCCGAGAGTCAGCCGGTACTTGAGGACATCTCTTTTGTCCCGAGAGTCTGGCACTTAGACGCCACACTGGGACCAGAGACTCTGGTCTTTTCCTCTCACCTTGCTTTACCCCCCTCTGGTTTTAACGCTTTAAACATCTTAAGCAAAGTCTAAGTTTGAAGCCGTCTGATACTTGGTAAATACATTGTGGAGAACTTTGTCACGTCTTTAATCTTCAAAAGTCTGTCTTTTTTTGTATAAATTTAAAAGATCTCACTATGTGCAATTTTTACAATAGTGGCTTCAGTTTTTCTCAGTACAAATTACTCTTTACATTAGTTGCATAACTATAAAATATTACATTTATTCAAGTTAATGGATTTTTTTTTTTTTTTTGAGACACAGTCTTGCTCTGTCATCCAGGCTGGAGTGCAGTGGTGCGATCTTGGCTCACTGCAGCCTCTGCCTCCCGGGTTCCAGCGATGTTCCTGCCTCAGCCTCCTGGGATTACAAGAGCATGCCACCATGCCTGGATAATTTTTTTGTATGTTTAGTAGAGACAGGGTTTCACCATGTTGGCCAGGCTGGTCTCCAACTCTTGACCTCAGATGATCTGCCCACCTCGGCCTCCCAAAGTGCTGGGATTACAGGCCTGAGCCACCATGGCTGGCCATGGATATATTTTTTAACTATTAGACTTCTCTCCCACTTAGAAAAGACCTTAAGGAATTTATGTGTATATATACTTTTCTATTTTCCCCCTTTTTTTTTTGAGATGGAGTTTCGCTCTATCAACGGGCTGAGTGCAGTGGCGCGATCTGGCTCGCTGCAACTTCCGTTTTCCAGTTTCAAGCAATTCTCCTGCTTCAGCCTCCCGAGTAATTGGGACTACAGGCACGTACCACGACACCTGGTTAATTTTTAAAAATATTTTTAGTAGGCCGGGCGCGGTGGCTCAAGCCTGTAATCCCAGCACTTTGGGAGGCCGAGGCGGGTGGATCACAAGGTCGAGAGATCGAGACCAACCTGGTCAACATGGTGAAACCCCGTCTCTACTAAAAATACAAAAAATTAGCTGGGCATGGTGGCGCGTGCCTGTAATCCCAGCTACTCAGGAGGCTGAGGCAGGAGAATTGCCTGAACCCAGGAGGCGGAGGTTGCGGTGAGCCGAGATCGTGCCATTGCACTCCAGCCTGGGTAACAAGAGCGAAACTCCGTCTCAAAAAAAAAAAAAAAAAAAAAAAAAAAAAAATATTTTTAGTAGAGACAGGGTTTCATCATGTTTCTCAGGATGGTCTCTATCTCTTGACCTCGTGATCCACCTGCCTCAGCCTCCCAAAGTGCTGGGATTAGAGGCATGAGCCACTGCGCCCAGCCTTTATGTTCCCCTTTAATATTTTCTACCAAAACTTTATCATCTTGGTACAGATAAATCTTAATTGATCTCTTTTTCTTTTGGAGACAGAGTCTCGCTCTGTCACCAGGCGCCAGGCTGGAGTGCAGTGGCCCGATCCCGGCTCACTGCAACCTCCGCCCCCCGGGTTCAAGCAATTCTCCTGCCTCAGCCTCCTGAATAGCTGGGACTACAGACACGCTACCACACCCAGCTAACTTGTATTTTTTGAGTAGAGATGGGGTTTCACCAGTTGGCCAGGATGGTCTTGATCTCTTGATCTTGTGATCCGCCCGCCTCGGCCTCCCAAAGTGCTGGGATTACAGGCGTGAGTCACCACGCTCGGCCAATTGGTCTCATTTTAAAGCAAAAATCATCTTTATGACATCACTAACATAAATTGTATAATTTATTCCTTGTCAACAAAGTATTTTTTTCAAGAGTGAAAAGTTGCACAACAGATCTAAATTCAACCTACTATAATTTTAATGTCCCATAACCTAGAAATATTTAAATTCAATTTGTATCCTGTAGTGAGGTCACAATCTGAGATTGTGATATGTTTCGGATATAGACAAGATGTTATCATAAATACTGCATAACTCTTTATTTATTTATCTTTTTTGAGACAGAGTATCACTCTGTCGCCCAGGCTGGAGTACAGTGGCATGATCTTGGCTCACTGTAACCTCTGCCTCTCGGGTTCAAGCAATTCTCTATGCCTTACCTCCTGAGTAGCTGGAACTACAGGCATGTGCCACCATGCCCAGCTAAGTTTTGTATTATTAGTAGACGGGGTTTCACCATGTTGGCCAGACTGGTCTCAAACTCCTCACCTCAAGTGACCTGCCTGCCTTAGCCTCACAAAGTACTGGGATTACAGGCATGAGCCACCGCAACCAGCTTTTTTTTTTGAGACAGAGTCTCACTCTATCATCCAGGCTGGAGTACAGTGGCACTATCTTGGCTCACTGCAACCTCCACCTCCCAGGTTCGAGTGATTCTACCGCCTCAGCCTCCTGAGTAGCTGGGACTACAGGTGCCTGCCACCACGTTCGGCTACGTTTTTTGCATTTTTAGTAGAGACGGGGATTCACCATGTTGGCCAGCTGGTCCTGAACTCCTAACCTCAGGTGATCCACCCCTCTTGGCCTCCCAAAGTACTGAAGCATGAGCTACCATACTCAGATGCCTTTTTTTTTTTTTTTTGGTGAGACATTCTCACTCTGTCATCCAGACTGCCGGGCTGGAGTGTAGTGGTACAATCTCAGCTCACTGCAACCTCCGATACCTGGTTTCAAACAATTCTCAAGCCTCCTAGGTAGCTGGGATTACAGGCCTGTGCCACCATGCTTGGCTAATTTTTCTGTATCTTTACTAGAGACGGGGTTTGGCCATGTTGGCCAGGCTGGTCTTGAACGACCTCAGGTGATCCGCCTGCCTCAACCTCCCAGAGTGTTAGGATTACACACATGAGCCACTGCACCTAGCAGAGCATTATGCTTTTATTGCAGACATATCAAGATAATCACACTTTTTTTTTTGACAGGGTCTCACTCTGTCGCCCAGGCTGGAGTGCAGTGGTATGATAATAGCTCACTGCAGCCTTGACCCCTGGGACTCAAGTGATGCTCCCACCTCAGCCTCTTGAGTAGCTCAGACTCAGACCACAGGCATGCACCATCACACCCAGCTAATTTTTTTTTTTTTGGGGTAGAGATAGGTCTCCTTTTGTTGCCCAGGCTAGTCTTGAACCCCTGAGCTCAAGTGATCCTCCCATCTAGCCTCCCAATGCTGGATAACGGGCATGAGCCACCACACAGCCCCCACTGTCACTGATACTTGTCCCCAGTTGCCCAGGAGTGGGCAACATCAGGTCTGGGCGCACATGAGTTAAGCGTTCAGAATTGGAAAAGGCGTTCAAAACGTAAGGTAGAAAAAGCCACTACGAAAGTCAATTATCTAACAAGTTCAAAATTATACTAGGTCATGACATAACACTCATCAGAAAATTTGTCAACGGTAACAATACTTTTCCATATTTTTACCTCAGTGTAAAAAGAGTTATTTTAACACAGTTTCAGATTTCCTATTTCCAACCTACAGTTGTATAAACATCTTTTAGTATCTCCACTCAACTACACAATTACTTAGGTGCTTATCCCACCTTTCTGCTTCCTCCAATTTGTTGTTGTTTTGGGTTTTCTGCTTTTTGTTTTTTTGAGATGGAGTGTCACTCTGTCACCCAGGCTGGAGTGCAGTGGTACAATCTCAGCTCACTACAACCTCTGCCTTCTGGGTTCAAGCCATTCTCTTGCCTCAGCCTCCTCAGTAGCTGGGATTATGGGCATGTGCCACAACGCCCAGCTAATTTTTGTATTTTTTTTTTATTATTTTTTATTTTTTGAGATGGAGTTTCGCTCTTGTTACCCAGGCTGGAGTGCAATGGCGCGATCTCGGCTCACCGCAACCTCCGCCTCCTGGGTTCAGGCAATTCTCCTGCCTCAGCCTCCTGAGTAGCTGGGATTACAGGCACACGCCACTATGCCCAGCTGATTTTTTGTATTTTTAGTAGAGACGGGGTTTCACCATGTCGACCAGGATGGTCTCGAACTCTTGACCTCGTGATCCACCCGCCTCGGCCTCCCAAAGTGCTGGGATTACAGGCTTGAGCCACCGCGCCCGGCTTAATTTTTGTATTTTTAATAGAGACGGGGTTTCACTGTGTTGATCAGGCTGGTCTCGAACTCCTGACCTCGTGATCCGCCCGCTTCGGCCTCCAAAGTGCTGGGATTACAGGCGTGAGCCACTGCACCCGGCCCCTCCAAGTTATTTTTTAATTGTGTCAATTAAATTTGTAATTCATCAACCTTAAAATAGGACATCTACTGTACACCATATAAAAGCCTTTTCCAACAGTATAAACTGAAAACTGTTAAATACAACTGGCAACTTATTAGAATAATTATCAATATCAAGTAGACATTTGATTTTCCCTCCCAAACCCCCCAAAACAAACATAATTAGAATAATTACCAGTTTCAGGCAAACGTCTCATTCTCCCTCCCAAACCTCCCACAACAAAGATAATCAGCATCCAGTTTTTTCCTCACAATTTAGCACTAAGAGATCAACACTGCCACGAACTGGGCTTGTTTTTCTGTGCTGGATCAGCAGCTCCAAGTGGAGCATGCAAGCACTGCATTTCACGAACCTTCCCAACGCAAGGCTGGCACATGCATTCGTCACCAGCTAAACCAAGCCCATGTAAAGAAACAGAATACAATAAAAATTACAGTGAGATTTCCCACAAAATAAAGTTGAGCTTTGGTTCAACATAATACTAAAAGGCTAGGAAAACCAAAACTGAAACGAACTCTCATGACCTCAAGAGTGAACTCACTGAGCAAGGCTCACTCAAGGGTTTATGTAGATTGCTAGACAGATAGTCAGACATTTAAAACCTATATTTTTGGCTGGGCGTGGTGGCTCACGCCTGTAATCCCAGCAGTTTGGGAGGCTAAGGCAGGCAGATCACGAAGTCAAGAGATAGAGACCATCCTGGACAACATGGTGACACACTGTCTCTACTAAAACAAATACAAAAATTAGCTGGGCTTGGTGGCACGCACCTGTAGTCCCAGCTACTGGGGAGGCTGAGGCAGGAGAATCGCTTGAACAGGGGAGGCAGAGGTTACAGTGAGCTGAGAGGGTGCCACTGCACTCCTGGTGACAGAAAATCAAGACTCCATCTCAAAAAAAAAGAAAAGAAAATTATCTGGGTGTGGTGGCAGATGCCTGTAATGCCAGCTACTCAGGAGGCTGAGTTAGAATTGCTTAAACCCAGGAGGTGGAGGTTGCAGTGAGCCATGATCATGCCATTGCACTCCAGCCTGGGCGATAAAGCAAGACTGTCTCAAAAACAAACAAACAAAAGCCCTACATTTCCATATGAAAAGCTTGTGACTTCCACATTCTTTCAGGATTAGTATTTCTATGACATCAAATATATTTTATTTTTGTCTAAACATTCACTTACAATATTCTAACAAAATTAAAATTTTGGTACAGTGTTTCATATCAACGAGGGCTACAAAACCTTGAGAGATTAGCTCTTTGATACCCATCATAAATTTAGTACAGCAACTACATAAATGGAAATTAATGAGCTCTTTGCGCCTGAAAAAAACACATACCTGAAAAAGAACTTCAATGATAAAATTTACATTCTTACTACAAAATCAACTGAATATCTTTAGTTGATTTCAAAAGCCAGATCACTTAGACGGAACAACTGACAGAAAAAAAGTTATGAGTGGACCACATGACAACATCAAGCGCAGGAAACAGGCTGCAACCCAGTTTGTATCATTTAAGTTTAGAAAGAAAAGAAATAGCCCTGTGCATTTATGTATATAAATGCAAAGTGTTAACAGCAGGAAAAATAAGAGGATTTTCACTTAACCTCATGCATTTTGGAACTGCTTAAAATTTTTATCATAAAAATGCATGACAATTTTAAAAAGGCTAAAAATCAATGTATTAAGAGTACTACCTCGTCTCACGTTTTTCGGAATAGAAGATGTATTTTTTTTTCTTTTCTTTTTTTTAAAGATGGGATTTCACCGCGATGGCCAGGCTGGTCTTTAACTCCTGACCTCACCTACCTTGGCCTCCCAAAGTGCTAGGATTACAGGCGTGAGCCATCGCACCCAGCCTGTATGTATTTTCATTTGTTAAAAAATAAACGGAGAAGAAAAGCTTAGCCTTCCTCCGTTCTTTTATTATATTCATGTAAATACGTTTAAGAGAAAAACATAAAAAACAGGATATAAAATGCACAATGTATCTCCAGTCTCACGGTTTAGAGAGGCTCAAAAATTTACCGGCCTACCAAAGAGTCGTGAGATAGTCAATACCATTTTTTAAATCATTGTCAACATCTTTATTGTAGTGACTTGATTCTCGAGTGATGACCCTGGATTTAACTTTTCTCAAATAAAGGTAAACATGACCCAGCCGCACATCAAAGCCCGAATGCTTCAACCTGAGACCTTTCCACAGAGCTGCGATGCACAGTCGTTATCCAACAAGGAACCAACCAGTAAAACCAAGTTGAACACGCTGCCAAACGTTGGCAGCAGTGGTCAAACTACACATCTTAATGTCACACTCTGCAAACCTTGGGACCGCTGTCTCACTTAAAGAAAACAGAGGAAACCCAGGAGGAGCGCGGCCGGCTCTGCCACTGACGCAGTTCAGGTGGGAACGAACTCTCGGGCACCCTCCCCGACCGCGGGCAGCGGGACGCCAGGCTGCGCACCGCTTCTGCTTGCTCAACAGCGAGTGGGGAACTCCGAATATTCTTCACCGAAAGGTGAAAAACGCTTTTCTTAAAGCGGCCTTAAGTGATTTCTAAGTTCCACATCCCACCGACGCCGCACGCAGTACTGAAACGCGGTGCCCGCTGCCTGCTGGACGCTCCCGGGCCGGGAAGGGGCGAAGGCGCCAGGTCGGACCGCGCCAGGGACCCCCGCCCGCCGCGCCCGGGCCGGACGTCACAGGCCGCCCCGCGGTCGCCCAGGCCTCCCGCATCACAGAGACCCCCAGCCCCGGGGCCGGGCGCCCTCCTCCTCCCCACCGCGCCCTCGGGCGGCTCCGACCTCAATCCCGCAGAGGCCGGGCCGGAGGGTGCAGAAGGCCCCCGGCAGCCCGCACGTGGGCGCCCCGGGGTAGCGACCTCCGCGTTCGCCCCCACGCGCCACCCCAGCGACCCCCCTCGACTTCGTCCACCTTGCCGTGAAGGCTCAGTGCCAGGGCTGGGGGCTCCACCCCACGCCAAGCCTGCGCTTTCCCCGGAGCCCCGCACCCGGCGGGCGAGGGCTGGAACGCTGCGACCCCCGCCCCTCTCCTCCCACCTTCGGCGGCCACCGGGACCCTCAGCTCTCCCGGCTCCTCCCCGGCCCCGCCTCCGGGACCCCGCCCCGGGACCCCGGCCTCACAGCGGGGCGCGCCGTGGCCGCTCCCCCGGTCCCCCCGCGTACCCGGCGACCGCAGGCCACCCCCGGGGCTGTCGGGCCCCTGCGCGCCGGGCGCCGGGAGGGTCTTGCGCTCCTTCTGCGACTCCCTCCGGCCCGCGCCGGCTCGGTGGCCCGAGGGCCCGGCCGGGCTCCTGCCTCCGCGGGGACCAGCCCCGGCCGCCGCCACCTCGTCGCGCCTCTTGCGCTGCAGCTGCTGCTGGCGCCGGCGCTCGGCCTCGCGCAGGATGTCGAACGGGTCCGACTCGTCGTCCAGCAGCTGATGGAAGCGGTTGGCCACCACGCAGCCGAAACTCTCCTGCATCACGGCGCCGGCGGCGGCCACTGGGCTCCCGAGAGCGCCCTTCATGCCGCCGCGACCACAGCGGCCCGGGCGGGCAGCCCACGCGAGCGCGTCTCAGCGAAGCCGGCGGCGAGGACCCATGCTGCCCGCTCCGCCGCCGCCGCCGCCGCCCTCCCGGCCCTACCCGGTCCGGCCCCTCCCGGCGCCCGCCCCCGCGCCGCCGCCGCCGCCGCCGCCGCCCGCCCCTCCTCACCCAACAGCCAATCAGCGTGCGGGGAGACGCCCCCTTTCCGAGCCGCTTCGCCCGGAGGCCCAATCACCGACCGGCTGCTGTTACGTCACGCGGCCTCTGAGCCCCGCCCCCTCCGCGCAGCCGGGAGGGGCGGGGCCGGGGGCGGAGCTACTGGCCGGAGACCCCGCGGCTGTCCCGGCGGCGCGGGCGGGTGGTCGGGGCTCGGCCGCGTGTGCGTTCGCCCCGGACCGCGTCCGTGTCTGTCACCCGCCGCTCTGCTTCGAGCTTCTGTATACATTTCGCCGCTCACCAGCTGCATATTGCGCACTTACCGCGTGCCAGGCGTTACGCTGTGGGAAATAGTAGCTCCGTGTTTGCGCAGGTCTGAGTCTGTAGACGGAGAGCAAGTGCCCTGAAGGACAGGCGCGGAGCTCCACGGGCCTGCAGCAGCGGGACCTGACCTGGCTGGCGGGTGACAGTTAAGCCGAGAGAGAGGGGTGACAAGGGGCCGGAGGAGGAACGGCAGGGGCCGCAGGCTCCAGGTGGGCTGTGCGCAGCCTGTTCCAGCTACAAGTCGTCCCTATTCCAGGAGCAGCGGGAAGCACGTTTCCAACATGAGCAGCTTTGCGTTTGAAAAGGCCACCCGACCTGCACTGTGAACTAATAGTTTGGAGGGAAATACACGTGGATGCAGGGAAGCCAAACATGCTTGTTGCAAAGCTCCAGGGAACTGCTGATAGTGACTTGGATTAGGATGGTGGCGGTGGAGGTGAAGAGTGGACGGATTCAGAGACTTGGTGATGAGCTACATGGAGGGATGAGGAAGAAGGAGGTATGGTGGCTCTTATTTTCCTGGCTCCAGCATCTGGTGGTAGAATTAGTCACCACTGGAAGAGACTGCTTTCATGAGAACCATGAATTCAGGCTTGGACACGTTGGGGTCTGGATATTTGGTTTCTTTTGAGATACTCAGTCGAGGCCTGGAGTTTAAAGAACGCTGGACTGGACTTCCTCCAGGAAATCTGGCATGGGCACCGATGCAGACACGCTTGGCTGCCTTTCCTTCAGCCGTTCTTTTTCCCTCTTACATTTTTCCAGCGCCGCTATCTTGTTCAGGCCTCATATTCCCCAGGGGAAGCGGCCCCGTCCAGCCTCAAACTTGATTAATCATAAATTATTCATAGCACCTGATTTCCAATTCCTTCTCAGTAACTGGTTTAGGAATAGGCTGTGGGGCAATTTGGGCAGAACAGATCTGAGAAGTATTCTGGGAAAGTTTCTCTGGCACCTAAGAAGGGGTTGAGAAGGAATCTTGCTGTTGTGGTTTGGTGATGACCAGTGCAAAGATGCCAAAGAGAACTCTGGCCTCAAGCAGTGCTTCTCAAAGTGTGGTTGGTTCCTAGTGCATGCAGGGATCCTGGTTCATTGAGAGAAAATACACACGCAATTTACTATTTTTACACTTTTAAAGTGTACAATTCAAGGACATTTACTAAATTCACAATTTTTTACAACCCTCTCCACTATCTCATTCCAGAACATTTCATTGGCCCACAGGAAACTCCACGCCCATCAGGCAGTTACTTTCCGACGCTCCCAACCCCCACTTCTGTTTCTGGGTCCCTGTTCCATGAGAGAACATGATGCCTGCGGTGGCTGTTCCTTCGTGTGGCCAGGAGGATTGCAGAGCAGAAGGATGGAGAAAGCCTAGATCCTTGATGGTGTTGAGCTGCCCACTGGACCCACTTGGGAACCTCCTACTTGAGGCTTGTGATGTAAGGTGACAGATGTGACTGCGCTTGGTTGTGTTTGCTGGTTTCGTCTGAAAGCATCCAGTTAGAGCATCCTGCCCAGGTGCTCTGTGGCCAGCTTTTACTTTCCTTTAATAGCATATGGAAAAGGAATTCCTAATCCTAAATGCTGTCAAGTCTGTATTTTACTCACTTATTTAATTTTGTGTTATTCCCAAGGAGGACAGGGATGACGCCTGTCTTATTCATTGCAATTTGTATTCCCAGGGCTTGGCATTCTGGGCAGCTATAGAGTAGCTTTTCAGTAAGTATTTGTTGAATGGTTGAAGAATTTAGGATATTTGGTCACCTCCTTTTGAGTGAGCAGAGATTAATGCCTATGCTTTCTACCCAAAAGAATTAAAAGCAAGTGTTCAAACAAAAACTTATATATATATTTATGAATATTCATAGCAGCACTATTCACAATAGCCAAAAGGCAGAAACAACTAAAATACATGCCACCTGGTGAATGGATTAAAAAAATGTGGTACAACAAAGTATTTGGTCATAAAAGGGAAGTACTGATATTTGTTACAATATGGATGACACTTGAAAACACTGTGGTAAGTGAAAGACAAAAAGGGCCACACGTTGTATGATTCCGTTATGTGAAATGTCCAGAATCTATAGAGACAGAAAGCAGATTGGTGGTTCTAAGGCATGGGGGTTGGGAGTGTTGGAAAGTAACTGCCTAATGGGTGTGGACTTTCCTGTGGGCCAATAAAATGTTCTGGAATGAGATAGTGGAGATGTCTGTAGAAAATTGTGAATTTAGTAAATGTCATTGAACTGTACACTTTTAAATTGTATAAATAGTAAATTGCATGTGTATTTTCTCTCAATGAACCAGAATCCCTACATGCACTAGAAACCAACCACACTTTGAGAAGCACTGCTTCAGGCCAGAGTTCTCTTTGACATCTTTGAACTGGTCATCACCAAACCACAACAGCAAGGAATCACAACCATGTGAGTGAAGGGCCTGTCTTCCCACTGGGCATCTGGAATTATCCTGCTCCCCTGTTTTCTTCCTATCTTCCTTCCAGTGTAACCAGCCACTGTACGTTCTTTTTTTTTTTTTTTTTTTTTTTGAGATGGAGTTTCGCTCTTGTGACCCAGGCTGGAGTGCAATGGTGCAATCTCGGCTCACCACAACCTCCGCCTCCTGGGTTCAGGCAATTCTCCTGCCTCAGCCTCCTGAGTAGCTGGGATTACAGGCACATGCCACCATGCCCAGCTCATTTTTTGTATTTTTAGTAGAGATGGGCTTTCACCATGTTGACCAGGATGGTCTCGATTTCTTGACCTCGTGATCCACCCGCCTCGGCCTCCCAAAGTGCTGGGATTACAGGCGTGAGCCACCGCGCCCGGCCTGTAAGTTCTTAAAGGACGCCCTGTGAGCACTGGTGCCTCACTTCCAAGTCACAAATACCCAAAATGGTTCTAAGAGAACCAACTCTGGTTGCTTCAGGATTCAGAACACCTTTAGAAACACTGAAATAGAGATGAGCGGTCTCTGTCTGCTATTAGCTGGCCGTAAGTTTCTTTCTTCCCTTTTTTTTTTTTTTTTTTTTTTTTTTTTTTGTATTTTTAGCGGAGACAGGATTTCACCATGTTGGTCAGGCTGGTCTCAAACTCCTGACTTCAAGTGATCTGCCCACCTCCCACAGTGCTGAGGTTACAGGTGTGAGCCACTGTGCCTGGCCATAGCCATGAGTTTCTTATGGGGCTACTGATTACTGCTGCACAATTTACTGACAGTAGCATTAAGCAGCCTCATATTTTTTACTGACCGTTTTTTTTGCTTGGAGATTGCATCCTTAAATGCATTCCTAAAATACAGCCCTACCACGTTAGCATAAGTTATTCACAACGTTGTGTTTAATGTGGTCAGTTTAACAGACGGATCCTTCTCATAATCTGAGATATAAAAACAGCCTTTAGTCGTCATAACACCAAACAAAAATACACATTTGTATAGCATAGAAAAACAAAGTACATCAAAAAAGCAGTGAAGTGAGGATGCTCAATAATACCACCAGCCCTTCCATGCTCATTACGTATATTTCAGGAGTTATTTATTACCACCAAAGGAAATGCAGTGAAGCTCAACTGTATATAAGATGTAAATTACCTTGAATTACTTAATAGGGGAGTCTCATTAGGAATAACAAAATACACTAACATCTTCCAGATTGACTTGGAATTCACAGAACAATTAATTGAGACTTTAGACACATGTAGCTTCATTTCTTTCAATGACATTCAGGGAGCAACACCTGGGTGGGAGCCAAGGCGGAGAGGCCAGGTCAGGCTGGCAAGGATGTGAGTTCTTGTTAATTACCAAAGACTGCGTTCAGGCTGCTCTGTTTTGCCACTAGAGTCCTGCTCGCTCTCTCCTCACCTTTTTCTTGTCTCTAAAGTTAGGATGATTATAACCTGTCTTACGCTCCTCATATAGTTAAATGGAAGGCAAGACCAAAGAAGGCAATGGAAAAGGTAAAAATAAATCTCGCTCTCTTTAATTGTTTCTACTTGCATAATATATGCGAGAACACAAGTATTTTTCCTATCTCTAAAAGGATCGATCTTTCATGCCAGCTTAGTCAATTATGACAGGATCAGTGAAGTTACATAATAGTTCCCGGTTTCACTACTCCAAGGGTGATAAGTGAATTCGAAATCAGTTTCCCACAACAAATGAAGGAAGCAAGTATATAGGCTCAACGTCGGGAGTTGTAGAACCATAAACCGGTAGGTAACAAATCAGGATGCACCAGGAGAACTTCTAGCAAGTGGAAATCCATTCATGACAGTCAGATACACAATGTTTAAATCAGGATATGATTTCCCCAACCTGCTAATAATATTTGTAGCCTTGGTGTTGTTGAAGGTCTTTCCAGCTTGTTTTCTTTTTTTTTTTTTGAGGCAGAGTTTCGCTCTTGTTACCCAGGCTGGAGTGCAATGGCGCGATCTCAGCTCACCGCAACCTCCGCCTCTTGGGTTCAGGCAATTCTCCTGCCTCAGCCTCCTGAGTAGCTGGGATTACAGGCACGCGCCACCATGCCCAGCTGATTTTTTGTATTTTTAGTAGAGACGGGGTTTCACCATGTTGACCAGGATAGTCTCGATCTCTTGACCTCGTGATCCACCCGCCTCGGCCACCCAAAGTGACCGCGCCTGGCC